AATAAAACATTTCGGAACTAATATTTAAAGGTTAGGATTGCGCAATTTCAAAAAAGGTCAGGGGACACAGCTTATCTGCATATATTTAAATAAAATTTGAATATGCAAACACACGGAAAAGACAGTATACTTATGAGGGCTGAAACGGATTGATAAATACCGACTTCGATGTATTCAGTTTAATATAAATTCATGCCTCAATGAAGTAGGTAAGGACTTCTTTACCAACTGCTTCAGAATATTCATTTTGGTATTTAACGTGTCTCTTTCACAAAAAAACAAATGGTGGAAAAGTAACTTTTCACTTTGAGAAAGATTTTTCAGGTCCTCTTGCTTTCAAACAGGCATCTTTGAGAAAATTCAGTAAAAACATGTCTCTTGTTCAAGCTACTTGTGACTTGGAATATGAGAGGAATTTACAATGCCTGCTTCTGCATTTTGAAAGAAATTACACAAAAAAGTAATAAAGCAGAAAATTGAAAGTTCTGAGAAATACCCATTATTTTTTTCAAGCTTACTCAATTAAGAATTAAATAGAGTATACAATCTCCATTTACACAAATGTGGAAAAGGGCATAATTATGATTTTGTGCAGTCACAAACAATTTCACAGATATTTTAAAGCTCCAACTTTTAGTGCATAAATCAGTCTATCTAGCTGCACAGAAGGCAAAATACTTGCAATTTCGTTTACTGAATTTGTTTGAAAACAAATCTCTAATAGCCATCTCTGTGTCACAGTTAACCTTAGTTTCTGGCTTTTCTTTCACTATTTTTAAGGTAATTTACTGCGTCTTGGGTTTTTATGCTAATGATATTTCAATATTCATAAGCAAAACTGTGATGTCATCTCAGGAAGAAAGCCTCAATGTTACACCTGTTTGCACACAAAAAAGCCCTCCATTTCTTTGCTGGTTCACTGCTATGTCTACAGGAAGAAGTAAACATTAATCTCTTTTTCAGAAATGATAAAAACCCAGCAATGAACAACAAGTACACATATGTCTTCCCAGGACATCACAGAAATAACGCCCTCAGTTGTCCAGGAAAGCATGCATAATTTTCACTGTTTAAAATGAGCACTTTTCAATGCCTTTATCCAACAGGAAAGACTTTTGAAACATCGGAGAGTATAAAGTTGCAGAAAAATTGTTTCTCAGAACGATCCCCTGCAGCTTTAAAATAAGATTACTTTTCTCGAGACGATACATCGATACCAAACCTGTCCTGCAAACGTGGCTGTTTTCTTCGACTAAAAACAGCTACATTCCCTATTTCAAGCCTGAAACCCTGTTTACTGTGTCAAGACAATGCTGGACTCTTTTTTTTGGCAAATTTAATCTTTGAGCTTTGGAGCACCTTGTTTGCACTGGCCAAGTTTGTGAGGTGAAGCCCCTCCAAGGACCACGGTAGACAGGAACCACTTCACCCTGCTTGGCACGCTGATGTTCTTCTGCCTGCAATGATGAGAAAAAATGGAAAGAGTCTCTTTAGGGCATTATGAAAAATGAGCAAGATTCTTAGAAGAGTGGAAACAACCCAGTCTGCAGGCTTGTTGAAAGTCATCCTTTTTAAGCAAAAGTCAGATTCTTTTATGTAAAGCAGATTTTATACATTTCTCGTAACTCTGTAACTTGCATGTTGGAAGTGTCCAAAGCATTTTGTTCTCAAATTAAATGTTTGTTAATTATTTTAAACGCTCCTTATCACAGACCACGGTATAGACCACTATGGAAGCTGCATGCCAAGTTCGTCATCTGTCATTCTGCAAAGTGCATTTTAGTCTTATGACAAGTCTCTGATTTCTTGGTTTTCATAGTCTTGTTACCTGAAATTCCTTCTTTTCTCTCAAACTACAGCCATAACGAATCTTGCTTTGGGCCATACATCTTTTAAAGTTTCAATTCAAAGCTTCAGGTTCCAATTAAGTTAATTAGTGCGGACTTTTCAACTGTCTTAGTTGAAGGTAACCTATCATCTATGAGAACCCTGGGAGATACTGTAAGCATCAATCAATGTCCATTCTTATGCAAATCATATTATATCATGCATGCACAAAAAAGATAAAAACAATAAATCAAAACAAACAATAAATCAAAGTTAAGTGCCCTTGATTTTCTAAATGAGCGATAAAAAGAAACTGAAAATGATGTTACACCTGCAACTGAAGCAGAATAGTCAGGCTCCTTCCATTTTAGAGTGGATGATGAATAAGGTGGATTCAGGGAACCCAATCCAAAATGGCCATCTTGTCAATAAAGCTCAGTGGGTATATAAAAGAGACGAATCATATATGCGCATGATTACACCCATAAGCTGAATTCTGAGAAAGTTGTTTCAGAAGAAACAGAATGAATGATTTTTAATCCTTTTTGAGTCATTTGAATTAGGATTTAAATCAATGCTTTAAATCAAACAACCCTGCCAATTTTTCAGGAATCTTCTTGCCTAAGAGTGGAGTGTTACACATTTATTTAAAGGTGCAGTCCATCATCCGTGGTTATCAGAAAAAGTAACTGAGGAAATTATTGTTGAAATACATACTTGGTTGGAACTAAACTCCCTGTTAAGTTATTCTTTCTGGCGAGTTGTCATTTTGAAGAAAATAAGGAAAGAAGACGATTTCAGACAATGCACTTGAAGACACATTCTGGGAATATTGCTATTGAAAATGACAAGCCTTCAGACCACAAACACGCATGTCAGTTACTACAATGCATTGGTTCAGTGTGTGATATTGCACAGCTGCATTTGCGTGAGTGTGAGAACGTGTCCCTGGGGCTCAAATTCCAGTGCAATTCTAACATGACTTAGCAATGTTTGATCTGAATTCCCAATCCAAGAATATCATTTTTTTCAGAAATATACAGTATTCACTGAGCCAAAGATTCGCCAGCTTTGTTCTAAGGCACCTTTAGATTTTTGAGTAATTTTTCTGCCTCATAGGAACATACTGGTGATGTAAGATCCGACAAATGATGGACTGTACCTTCAACACATAAGAAGTTATTATCGCTGTTGGCATATAAAATTTTGGATGCTTTTACAAAAATCAATCATGGCTCACCTACGCTCTTTCAGCCAGGTAACTGCATCTCCATGATGAAAGGCCACAGTAAACACAACACTGAAAGGAATACAAGAAGAAATCGTTAGAAATTCAATCAAAGAAATTGTTAAATGTTCAGCAATTTCAAGCCATGGTGCCTTTGCAAATGACTCCAGAAACACAAGACACTTTAGCTCATGACTCCAGATTTACTGGAGGTGTATTCAAAGCCAAACTCTTAAAGAACAAGTCCCTGCTGTGTAAAAGATCCCTCAGTGAAACTGCTAAGAGCTAGGATTGGTCACTCAAGTCCGGATGGTTAGAGGCTCATGTTCATCTGTCGGTTCATGCAGCTGAGACTAGAGCTAGGATTAGCCACTCAAGCCTGGATGGTTAGAGGCTCAAGTCCACCTGCTGGTTCATGTTGCTGAGACTAGAGCTAGGATTAGCCACTCAAGCCTGGATGGTTAGAGGCTCAAGTCCACCTGCTGGTTCATGTTGCTGAGACTAGAGCTAGGATTAGCCACTCAAGCCTGGATGGTTAGAGGCTCAAGTCCACCTGCTGGTTCATGCAGCCGAGACTAGAGCTAGGATTAGCCACTCAAGCCTGAATGGTTAAAGGTTCAAGTCTACCTGCTGGTTCGTGCAGCTGAGACTAGAGCTAGGATTAGCCACTCAAGCCTGAATGGTTAAAGGCTCAAGTCCACCTGCTGGTTCATGCAGCTGAGACTAGAGCTAGGATTAGCCACTCAAGCCTGGATGGTTAGAGGTTCAAGTCCACCTGCTGGTTCATGTAGCTGAGACTAGAGCTAGGATTAGCCACTCAAGCCTGGATGGTTAGAGGCTCAAGTCCATCTACTTGTTTCAGCTCCTTTCCAGGAGCAAGACATTTCACAACTTCGATCTGTGACAACAGCACAATGGACGGAGCTCTTCAGGCCATTTGAATGCTACACTTACAGCAACATACAGGTCACAACACTTGGACGGTCGTCCGTGAGACAGTCGGCCGGTGAAAGAAACTTTAAAAGACAAAAGCAACATGGGAAAAAAAAGAAAAAGAAAGGTGTAAATCTGTGATGCAGAATTTGACCTTTGAAATAATTTGATAAAATACTCCACAAAACAATAGAGCCTGAAAGTTGACCCCCGATGATGCGCTCCCAGAACCCTTGGACAGGAAAAATAACATGCAAAGATTGTAGAATTTGTAATATTACTCCTTAAAAAATCCAAGTCGGAAAGGGGGCTTTGGAAAATATTTGCTGGTATATCAATGTATAGAAACTGAAAAATCACCCGACCTAAAAGAGAAATATCCTGTCAAAAATTGACAATGATCACTTCCAAAAATCTAAAATACATAAAGGAAACAGTGCAATGGGGCAGTCTCGTTTGCAGATGAACATTTAGAGTTTGAAATTTTATGGTAGTCCGTCGGTAAAAGCCGAAATAAAAAACTGATCAAAATATTTAACACAGTCTCATAATTTATAAGTAATAAACTTAAAGCAACATTCTACTTCAATTACGAAAGATTCTAATCTTAAACCTTTGCTTACAATTGCATGATGCCAACCCAACGGAATCTGGAACCCATT